AATGCATAATTCTTATTACACAATTTTAGGCCTTGTTTACTGTTTGATATAACTGTCAGAATATTGTGTTGTTAAGATAAATATGTACTTAGACACACAAATATTTATATGTATTAGAAGTTACTGACAAGTATAATACATATCTACCTATACAAAATTATACATTTTATTATGTCTTCTACTCCCGTGTGGTTTTATCCGCTAAGCTCGGCTTCTATTTAACACAAAAATAATTAGTTAACACCTACCTGTAGTTACAGAGATTAGTGCATTCAAACAAAAACACTCTTCAGTTTTATAAATAATAGTGTAAGAAGAGAAAAAACGTGTCATTTATAAACAATTTCGCTTATTTGACATTAAATAAATAATTAATTCATTGTATAAAAAGTATAAACTTGTAACTATTGATAACCAGTTATGTATAAAAATAACTGATGACATATAAAATTGATTAAAATTTCGGTGACAGTATTTTACCTAATTAATCTATGCCAGGTACAGTGACAATAGACATTTGACTGGTTTTGGAAATTAAAATATATTTTCCATTAAAAATAACTATACGAACAGTATTAATACTTGAAAAATTCTTCCATCATATCCATAATAACATTTATTTTGAGTGCAATCACAGACCTTTAAGAGTACCAAGATTCTATGAATCACATTATAAAAACTGAGTTCGGTACAATCCTATAATCGACACTTTTTTCTCAATTCTAATAACTTCATTTGCTTATTACAGCGTTATCATCAAAATTACCCCTCCCCCCTCCCTTTCCCCAATCCCTGAATCCCCAACATTCCTCAAATTCCGAAAGGCCGGTAACGCACTTGTAACGCCTCTGGTGTTCCAGGTGTCCATGAGCGACGTCGATTGCTTACCATCAGGTGATCCGTCGGCTCGTTTACCGTTTTATCCAAAAAAAAAAATTTATAATAATAAAAAGGTTCTTATCTCCATATATTCACTGACCTTACGTTTCTTCACTTACACAACGAGAAAAATTAACCTATTATAATAACCAGTTCCAATTTACCCATAAAAGTTTTACAAAGACGTTTGTCCACCTGTCGTACTAATTATGGTCATTATATGATGACCTCATCATCTTCTGGGGAATCACAAACAAAAATGATTTAATTTTAAAACCCATTTTTATTTTATAAAAGTCAATGGACTTTCGTCATGTATAAAAATGGCGTAATATTTTATATTTGTGCAGCATTTTGACTTAGCATGTGTATAAATTCTATTTCAGTCATTATTTTAAATTATTATTAATGTTGAAAATAGATTAAACAGATTTGTTATATAAAACGTATTATAATAATACCAAATCAAATCCATCGAGACGTGAGTATAAAATAAAATAAATGACATTAAAATGGCATAAAAACGTAATTATTACACATTAATATAAAAAATAAATATCTCAAGCATGAGAAGAACTTATGTAATTTAAATGATAATTATAGATAAACAGGACATAAGCAAAAAAGGAAGAGACACTCTGTCTGAACGAACGTAGCTATACAAAGAGCCTGATCTCAGTCTTTACCTACTGATTTTAAAGAATAATATTTGCCAAATATTGCATAGATACAGTATTTTTAGTGTAAATGAGAATCTGTTGACATTGCAACCAGTGACATTGACAAAACGGATGTAAGCGCATGCGTAGGAGCATCTCCAGTCAACTGTCCTCATATAGACATCGAGGGAGCATTGGTGAACAGTGTAGGTGCTTCTCTGGGTCATCTTAAAACATTTTTAATTTTATTAAAATTTTAAATCTAGTAAAATAAGGCTGTAAAATGCGATGTTTTAATCACTTGATTCAAATACATATAGGAAACCATACAAACTATTTTGGACAACTTACAATCAAAATGCTGTACAATCAAAGTCCGGCTAAAAGTTCCTTGTCTATGCTGGCCCTAAAAATAAAAGTTAAAAAAATCTTGCTCAATTATTAACAACTTAATAACGCAATGAAGTAATACCCACAGTAGACGATACCGATAATTACTTCCAACAATTATTCATTTAAACTTGACATACATAAAGAAAGTACTCAATCAGTAATTATCTAATTTACCAACAAACTTCGCATGTTCACAAATTCTATAGACAATACATTTTTTTCTCCACTCATACAAACGTAATGATAGTACTGCACGTCTTTGTTTTAGCAAAGAATTTTGTACTCAATGCCAAATGCAAATAAAGACGGAATTGTAATAGTGTTACATTAAATACGACCAATTGTTTGGTTCGTTGAGATGTTATCGTGAGTAAATAAATGGTGGAACGAATTTTATTAATGGTGCTCTATCGGTTGCTGGTTAAAAATGGATTCCATAACGTGGTTATGATAATTTTGGACACTGGACACGATACGTAGAACTTAAAAGTAAAAGGTTTACACATATTTTTGGTAATACGTAATGAGAGATAATTATATAAGCTTAAAACATACCTAGGTACTTGTACTTAAGGGAACTTACGAAATGACCGGGGGATGTACGTTCCAAAGAGAATTTTTAAAACACAAAATTTTAATAAAGACTCGTCTACGAAGAAAAGGCTAATACCAAATATTTTATCTTTATCTCAAAGGTAAGACGATACATTTTATTAACACTGGTAATTATTAGGAACGTGTAATTATTAATAGTAGCAGACGTACAGTCCAGACATAATTAAATGCCAAAAATGCCTTTAGCTTCATGCCATATCTCATTCATAAGAAAAATAATAAAAATAGACGACGTTGATGTAAAATTTAGCAACAAGAAACTTGTTCATGAAACTGGATTATCATAATTAAACATTTAAATACTGTTTAAATTAATTAAGTCCTCGTTTTATTATTTCGATCTGTACCTACATCCTACCTATTAAGTTTGGATTACGTACCAGATAATAAGTCACAAATCATGTCCGCTCAAAGTTTAGTTTATATTCTTTAATATTACTTATAAAAAAACCTTCTAAATTGATTCACAACTGGCAATAAATCCAAAATGTTAAGTGCTTCCAGCCAAATGCAACAATACAATTGACGTTTGACCTCAAAACGATATCATCAATCAGGTCAAATGACTGCAAGTGTGAACTGTTACACAACAGTCGAAAAAGGCCAAGTCAAAACTGCAACTCCTAATTTGCGGTTAAAACATCACAATTAGCTTTGGACGAATCTAAAAAAATAACTATAGTAAAAGTATTTCGCATTCTAAGAATTATACTAGGATTTGAAGATATCCGGGAGATAAGGAAAAATTATATTTTAATATGGTTAATTTCCATGAGCTATTATATAGACGTCACTAGCCAAAGGGCATTGGACTCTCCAAAATATGCGCATACATTTTGTGAAACCTTAGGATGGGCAGACTAGTGTTGTAGTGAGAGGCTCTTTTGATGCTAGAGAAGATAATAATGTGTTAGACAATAATTGTCTTGCGAAAACTTATGAAGATAAAGAAAATAGATTTGAGTTGAAACCAAAGGGAAAGTTAGAAGTACTTGCATTTACTGTTAATAGTAATTCGTTACGAAACAAAAAAATCAAAATAACATAAAATCTGTACTCTATATTTCGATAATACAAAATCATGATTTCCAAAACGTTTACAAACAATAGAAAACAAAGCAAATAAAAGTAAGTAAATGCAAAGAAGCTTATGAATATCACACGCAAATATGAAAACGATCATCATCGAGAAGCACACAGGATCAAAGATGGTTTTCCCCGAATAAATATGGAAAATCGGTTAATACATTTGACCCGGATCTTTTCAAACCATCCGGACAAATACCGGAGCGAGGACAAATTGTTAAAGTATTTTCTAAATGTCAAGGCTCCAAAAATAGCCCATCCGTTTTGATTTACGATCGAAATCACCAATATCCTGGAATAATATTTCAATGTAATTTGGATTCTATTCAATATGACTTATATGGTTCGAAGTATATTCATGTTATTGATCACAACTTGTTCTATGATCACTGATTTATTGTTATTATGATTCTAATGCTTCTTTAACAAAATGTTAGCGTTGGTTATTTTGAATTTATCGTCTAGACTACGGTTGTTAAGTTTGACGCGTTCAATTTCATTATTACTGTATCTATTATGGCTCATCAAAGATTCCGCATTATTTATTTGATTTATGGAACTATATTTTGTTTTCTTACAAGAAATTCAATAATATAAACTTCTTTTAACTCTGCCTCTTCAAGTCTTTATTTAATTATCAATAGGTAAATAAAAACAGTAGAAGGTATATAAGTATCCACAAACACGTTTAAATTATCTCCTTCCATCATTAATGTCATTTATTTTGCTTTTACATCAAGTGTTTGCAATACTTTGATAGCTCTATTAACCTTTGAAGTTATTCTTCACCATTAACTCAGGTATTTGAATGAAGCCTCTACGTGTTTAATGTCTGCTGGGTCATCTACTGCGACCACAAGGACATTACCTTTTATAGGATCTGTGGGTTTTAGTTCATCATTATTTAAATCATTCACATTACCTACAAATCTTGTTGTCGTCTGGTGATTAAAAATGTACCCTGAAACGTATAAATTGAGAATTTTTTTGCATAAAAATTGATTCAATTTACACTGATAGGCTTACAGAAATCATCGTTATGTTCTGTCTACATAAGAATACCCATAAAATGGCATACATCATTTTTATAGCAAAAATCAATCAGCCAGAATAAAAGAGACAAATCAACGCTATAGGCTCAACCCAAAAAATGACCATAGAGGATGTCAAACCCCAAACCTGAATGTAAAATTAACTGTCATATTAAAAATAATTACTGTACAAGAGGTCCTCATTACTCTCGCAAAAGCTTACGTTATAAGTTACGCAAGCGAACCAACTGGACAAGCCATGTATGGAGAGATGACACCAAAAGACAATAAAATTGGTTTCGATTGAATTTTGTTGAGTGTGAATGATTTTAGTGTTATGAAGAGTGTGAATAGGACCAAGGTGTGTGTTTATGATATGGAGAGGATGACGAAGAAGGCAAATAGGCAGTGCAGGAGAGATTATGAAAGGAGAGAGGTTAGATATGAATGCGAAAAGTATTAATTTCATTTTACTAAAAAATAAATGAATTGAAGAAATCTTAACTGACAATCGACTTCAAAATTTCGTAGCTGGACTTAAATAGTTTCGAAATATTCAATTTAATCAAAAGTATCTATAATGCAAATTTACGATTCCAATCCCATCAGATGAATACAAATTAAACTCGAAGTATAAAGTATAGGTATACCAAACCATTAAAATTCTAGTTATCTTAAATGTGTCCTAACATCACATTATAAAGCAGTTAACTTAAAACCTAATGATCGTTTAACTTAAACCTTGACTACAGGTAATCTTTCACCAGTTTCTGGTTAAACTGGTTGGTGTTAACTTAGCTTAAGTTAACTTATTGTTACTGCTCTTTATGTTAGAATTAAGAAACAGATTTGGGACTTATGTTTGAATTGAATAGGGAGAGTGGTTGCGTGTTGTTTGTTGAGACTTATTTCTAACTAATATTTAATAATTCTACTAAATTCTAAAAAGTAAGATATCTAATATCGTCACCATTTTAAGTAATTATATTATGGATCCTAGAATGGCTTGGTAGTAAAATATTGATATAATACATTTTGGGGCAAGAGTTCGTAGGAGGTAATAATTTTATCAACACCGTGCCTCCAATTCAATTACAGAAATCAATACTGGTAATAAAATAGCAGATGTAATCTCCTGAACAGTTTATGTTTCAAGTTTCCTTAAAACGGTAACCAATAACGTCTCAACGTTGCATTTAAATTGATTTCCATTTTAAATCTTAAAATGTCATGTATTTTATTTACTTTTTACTTTTCTTAACCCGTTTTTATTCTTTAAACATTTCTACTTTTATTATAGTAACCTTTATTGCCATTTTTACAATTCAAACAGACAAGCTACAGATGTCCTGAATTTGACTCCATAATATTACCGACTAAAAATAAATCAAATCAATGTAAAGTAATTGATTCAGAAGGCTTAATGAAACACGAAATTGTTAAATACATTATAAACAATTAGGAGGTAACACTTTAACAGCATAATAGATTAGCCAAGCCAATTACAATCGTAACCGACCAACCCGGGAGGCATGAATGATATTTAAGAATATTGCTGATATGATTCCGGTAAACGCAATCTAAAGGTGAAGGTCACAGAGCATCGAATTACATGGAAGGGTAATTAGCGTGGAACCCTCAGGTGATATGATGACAGATTATTACTAGATATTAACAAATTAAAATATATTGCTTAGCAGAACAAAGAATAAAGAAATAACTTGAATTGGAGGAGATGGTATCGATAGAGCATAATATGACACAACTTTTCTGTCAACAGAATAGAAATAATGGTAGGTGAGAATTTATGAAATAACTTCCATAAATTATGTTTTGTAAACTATTGTTGTTTAATTTAGCGTTGTAACGATAGCTGTCCATGATGACACCGTTGCTCTGTTACGCTATTTCAAACAACACAGACGTAAATATTAAACAAAGCAAAGTTTTGTGCATTACAAAAAAAATTACAGAATATTAGCCTAACGTTCATGATCATTTTACTAATAAATCTAACATTTAATACATCCTCCCTTTCACCAATTACAAAACGAGTTTGCACAATAAAAATAACTATTACACGTACTTCAAAAATATTATCAGCTCACTTAAAATTTTGGTTAAAACACAAATCATCGATCACGGCTCCCTACAATTTTACTATTGACAACATCTAATTTATTATAAATGTTAAGAAATAGGTAGCAAACAATGGAGTCTCCATCACCTTCAATGATTTTAGTATTACTGTGATTTAAGGGTCACTTGACACCAATCCGTTTAGATGTTGCATTACCAATGTTAAGCACTTGTATCGTAAATGGTTTAATAATCAATAGTTTCATTGTCCTCAAGTTTCATTTCGGCTATAAGTTATGTTTCAAGTTGTACCATTATTTTTGTTTTTCCATCCCACATAACTTTATCTTCATTTAAAGTGTCTTTATCTTGGATTGTTTGTTTTCTTGATATGTTTGAGTGTCATTTGAGTGTTTTATGGACATCTGTCTCGTCTTTGTCTATCCTGACTTGGAGATGAACATCAAGGTTATGTAGCTTAATATTGCCTGCCTCACTTTTGATTGGTTTAACAAATCTAGCTATTTCATCTGATTCACGATCGGTTGTATAATGAACTACAGTATGAACTACAAGGGTGTGTATAATACACAACAATATTTCGAATTTTTGCTCTAGTTTATAGATACCAACATTGTGTTAGTAAATATTGTAAGGACAATTTCACTCAGTCTTCCAATTACAGTGCGGGTTGTTAGTATCGTATTGCCTTCAGTATAGAACAGTGTGAAACATTTTTTAAGAATTCGTGTTTGAACTATGTAAGTACGTACTAAACTTGATTGATTTCACATAGTATAATAAAGAAGTAAAAATTCCTTGTATAATTTTCCAATTTCGTGTTGTACAAAATAACCCTGATATAGGTTTTTGACCTATTCTGTTTGACCAACGGAAATCAGATTAATGTTGATTGAATTTGATAATGATGAAATGAATAGATCATTGGAGTTAAGAAATGTCGTTTGCTTGCACAATAAATAACTTTGCATCACTGTATTACGGTATAGTTTACTTTAAATTACCTCAGTGTTGTTTATTGATTTTATTGGCTTTGAATTAATTACCTCATAGTTGAACGGCCAATGTTTGTTGAATGTTTGTGTATTGTAACAAATATTGGTGATTTGATTTCACACCCTTGAAGTTAAATTGATTTGGATGCTAATTATGGAAGTACACTTGATTTCCTGGTTTGTAGAAGTCTTAAAAAAGGGCCAACCATGACCTAATTCATGTCTTGGTAATCGTGACCACTGTATTGATTTATGGAATTTTCTGAAAAATCTTCTTAATATTATACAACTTGTTACTTATCAAGTATGTACCTAAGACAGATGTCCCAATTCAGAACACAAAGGGCCTGCAAGCATTACATCGACCTACATGACATTTTTCTCAACCACTTGGTCAACGTATTGCGATCTGTTTCCAATCGATTCGCGTCGCCTGTTTAGAACATGTTCTTTTATCTTAATGGGACAAGTCAGTCCCCAAACAAATGCTGAAACTGGCACAGTTGCTGTTGTAACCTATGCAAGTTGCTGGTCAAGTTGAAATTAACAATGGTGTGGAATTTCTAGCTTGAATGATTACTTTACTTATAAAGTTGTTACTTGGGTATTATTATATGTCGCTTCATTAAGTATAGTATTCATAGAAGATATGGAATTAAGATAATCTACTTTGATATTATTATGTAGTCTAGAAAAGACTTTAAAGATCCGATTTAAATCAATACCTTACTACAAGACATCTAAGACAACATTATCTGTTCTAGTATATCCACAGTGTTTACCTATTTGCAAAAATGAAGGAAGACCTAGAAATTCCATCTCTCGCATGACTTAATTTATCACCAGTAGCTTAAGTTGTATTTACTAAGTGTCGTAACCAGGGGTCAGAGCTGACTGTTTGTATCTTAGGTAAATAATTGCTTAGCCAGTGTCGTGCGACCTTCGATGGCATTTGTTAATTTTTGTGTGTCATCCGCTAATGTGTATGACCTAGGGATCGCTGGCCGTTCAGTATTTGTATCAGCTGTGTTACCTTCGAATTGTTTATCGATTTCATCTACATTTTTATTTAAAATATTAATTTTAAGGTTATTGTTAAGTGCTTTATCAAATATACGTTCTAGGATGATTTTTAGTATATGTTTGTACTATGTCAAAACTTCCAAACACGTTAATTGGTGATGAGGAAATCTATGTTTTAATGAACATTTTCCCTTACAGTTTTCTGCTGTATTACCGAACTAAGTACATTTATATGACGTAAAACAACTATATTTTAGTTCGTCATGTTTTAAGAATGACTAGGAAATTAGACCAAACAAAGACATTTAACATAGATAGATATTAGCTGTACGTTTGTAGCCTACTTACAAATAGTTGTGTAGACCACACGTGCTCATTACAATTTCCTCAATGGACAAAGTAAATATGTTATGTAAAACACGCGTGTGCGAAATAATGGTTCTTTTTTTCACAGACTCATTTTAATATTCTATAATTACCGTCTTTAGTAAAAAAAACCAACTCTGCTTTATGTTAAACTATTTTAAATAACTTCTAATTGCTTCACGTCAAAACAACAAATACGTACAAACTTTCTCTACTTTACATCTACTTAAAAGGCCCTAAATTCAGAACGCTGCTTAATTATAATTACTCAAAAACCGAGGCATTTACCAAAATTTATGAATATTACTCAATAATCACAGAAAAACATAAATTAACTTTGTCCTAATATATGTAAAACCAGTCTAATCGTCAAAGGTGAACAGATTATCTATAATTCTTATTAGGCCTCCGATTACCATCGGATTTTAATATGCATACCTAGTGTATCTTATATTAACAGGTAAATTTAATGGAGATAAAGTGCTAAGGGACAAATAACCACGTACAATATGCTAAGACTATCATACATCGGTTTTGCATTAGGGAAATTTTAAATGTGTTGGACAACCTAATGGTCTAATGAAGACGAATACCTAAGAGGTTTTGTCCTTTCAAATGAAATTAAACTTAGGGCCTGTTTGATTAAGGTACAATTAACCTAACACAAAAGTATTTAAGAACATTTCATATACGATATATATACCTACGTTATATTAAAGTAAGCGCTTTGTAGGTTACTAAAATACAGTTTACGTATGTATTATACCACCTTTGTACACGTATGTATGTGTTGATAATAAGATAAATATCATAAATCGAAATTCTCAAATTTACAATCAGTACAAAATCTACCGCTTGATCTTTATCATAGACTGTTAGCATTAGCATACAATTAGTGTTACAACCTTTATTACCATGCCAAACTATTGTTACGCTGGAGTAATTATCCTCCTACTGATACCGACACGAGATCAAATTTATTGATGTTTTTGATGCTTGAATGAACTGCCGAATTTTAATGTAGCTATTATAGATAGTTGTTTATCTAAAAAGGGCTTATAAGTCTCTGAAATATCGTACAGGCAAAACAACTTGTTTACATAAAATGTGCTTAATATATTATCCGTCTCCTTTATCCTACTCTTTCTCTATACTACCTGGAGTGTCGCGGAGAACCTAACGGGGAACCGGGGCTCCGGCTCGACGTGCAGGAGAAGGAACGGGGTGGTTTTTAGTCAGTAAGAGTCTGATACTCCCTTCCGCCTCACCCAGGCGGGAGCAGTCATTCGATGATTTTCCCCCCTTAAAAAAAAAATACTACCTGGAGTAGACTCCATAGCTGTCTATAAGGCACAATATGTAACTCTTTTCCATTTTCCTCTTTCCTCTTTTACATAATTGTTCCAGCCTTAATTCAATTTTTAATGAACAGAGACTAGTTTATCTTTCAACAAATACCACAAAATAACATTAATAAAATTACATAAATTCGCAATTCTGCAATTACATACATAGGTAACGAATAAAATGAAGGACAAGTGATCATTACGCATAATAACCAATCAACGAACAAAAACACTACGACATGAGTGTGTTGACTTAATTAAATCATTGTTTGTGACAAAATGCTTCATCAATGTCATTGTGTAGTACAAGTTAGAAGGTTGTGGCGTTTATACTTTGAATTGGGATAATTTAGATAATTATTCATTAGAGACTAATTAATAAATGTTGTAAATATTTAGATTTTATGATTAAATAATAATCATAATTTAGATAAGATTGACTTATGTATATAAAGTTAAATATTATATTACAATCTTCTTAATGACGTTCCGTTACGTCGTCCTTTTGTCAAACCTAATTATATATACCATAAGGATAATGCGTGTGTATAAATAATTAATTAATTTCTAATAAGATTCAACTCACAAATTGAAAACTATTTTTAGTCATATCTCAAAGACAGCTTTTATAAAAAGTGATCAATTAGTTCCATGTAATGATGTCGTTAAATACATTTTCCTTTTAATACGAGTCAATAAAAATAAATCAGATGAAACATAATCTCTTCTTGATAAGATAAATAAAATTTTATGTTCTTTTAATAAGCCATTTACCCTTGAAAAGAACAACTGTCGTCTCTTCACTACTCGATTTTACAAATTCACGAGCAACAAAAAGCCTACTTAATTTCCCAACACGAAATCAACCCGAATAATAAATCGATTAATTTAAAACAAAACTTGGTAATAAATCCATAAAATTTAACGGCAGTTGACGAAAGCCTTTACCTTGGACCAAACGACATACGAGTTGAAATTCTACAAGAGCCAACCGGAACGCCTTGAGCTTCTTCGAACGAAATATGTTTCATTGACGTATAAGCGAACAGTCGTAAATACCATTCAGATGGTAATCATTTAATCCAATTTAGTATTAAAAAGTTATTTTCTGATACTTATGCTATTGATGTATCGTGCATGGCACTGAACTACCTACCAAGCGCCTGTATTAACAAACAATGCAAAGTCTTATCTTTGGTTACATTGCTATATGTTTTCTGAAGGTATTGGTAAAAGAGAATTCGTTGCTCTGTTGTAAGGAACATATAGACCAAATACACATTATACTACATTTGATAGTTCAATAAGTTTCACGTAACTAAACATCTCAAGAAATTTACAAATATAAATGTATTCTTTCCTATACAAAGTAATACACAAAACAAAATGCAGTCACGACTTAGTCTCAACAATTATAACCTAGAAATTTTCATTTTTCATCTTTATCAAGGCATAGTTTCTATTGAAATATTTATATTAGTTCGTTATATATTATTATGTATAATAAATTATGTAATGCTGAATGTTTTCCACACTGAGAATTGTAAATTAATCTAGGCTATGCCAGATGAGCATTTTCTAGATGCGCTAATGTAAATAAATAATTGATTAAAAATTACATAAGTAGAGACGCATTTAATTTATTGATATCTAAATGTTAATGACATTGTTCGTTGCATAAATACAATGATTAATGGGTACGCATGATGTCAAACGGTGGTCAGCAGGTCAAATGCTTTGATGCCAACGTTATGACACACGACCCTGACACAAAGATTTAAATCACCTGAGATTAGGGGAGAAGATTATCCTCGATTAAATATACTAAGTTTTATACAAATTGTGCACGAACTATGCATATAAACATTTTATTTGAACTAAGTATGAGCATTAGAATCCGAGAATAGAGTTTCGTGTGAATAAAAATAATATCATAAGTTCATAATATTAATAAAGTCACATATTTTAAATTATTTATTCATTTTGTCACATGATCAAAGTACCAATGTAAAAGATCATTATCGTGGTTGATTGATTATTATTTCTGGGAAACATATCAAACAATCATCATAGCTAAGATTGTTATGAATTGACATAATTTTAAATCCTAATTTTCTATTATTTCAGAGGCTATCACTGCACCTGGCAGTGGTGCTGCTTGCAGTGTACCACACTTGCAAGGCAGAGCGTGCGCCGCGAGCGATACAGTTCAGCTCGAATCAAAACTATGCTGTATTTGGATCTCCAATTTCTGCTAACCTCGACGAGGACGGATATTTCTACCCTAAGCCGAAGATCCCCTTCCCCCCGCCACCACCACCACCGCCTCCGACCAGGCCGCCGCCACCACCACCACCGCCGCCAACCAGGCCACCTCCGCCACCACCACCGCCACCAACCAGGCCACCTCCACCACCACCACCGCCGCCGACTAGGCCACCACCTCCACCAGTCACAAGACCGCCAATAACTCAAGCTACTGGATATTATTATGACACTCCGCGTATACCATTTGAGATACCTACTACTAGAAGACCACTGCCTCCCCCGACGACAAGGAGACCCCCACCCCCTCCACCACCACCGACTAGGCCACCACCACCACCTCCACCACCACCCCCAACCAGGCCACCACCACCACCAACAACAAGGAGACCTCCTCCACCACCACCACCTCCACCAACAAGGCCACCACCACCTCCTCCCCCGCCTCCAACTAGACCACCAATAACTACAGGATACACATACCAAACCCCACGCATCCCTTTCCCGCCACCAACAAGGCCTCCGCCTCCACCTCCACCTCCGCCTACTAGGCCACCGCCACCACCAACAACAAGGAGACCTCCTCCGCCTCCACCACCACCACCAACTAGACCACCACCCCCACCTCCACCACCACCTACGTCTAGACCTCGTACGACAGGATATGTATACGAAACACCGCGCATACCTTTCCCACCACCAACAAGGCCGCCACCTCCTCCTCCACCACCACCAACTAGGCCACCGCCACCACCAACAACAAGGAGACCTCCTCCACCTCCACCACCACCCCCAACAAGACCACCACCTCCTCCACCACCGCCACCAACTAGGCCTCCACCACCTCCCACGACAAGGAGACCCCCTCCACCACCACCACCTCCCCCAACTAGACCACCAACTTTCAGAACAACGGGCTACAGTTACCCAACCCCACAAGTGCCTTTTACTTATCCAACAACAACCAGGAGGCCTTACATTCCGCCTGTAACGCAGCCGACCACACGTAGAACATTTCCTCCAGTAACATATCTGCCTCCGACTACGACAAGGAGACCTCCTCCACCACCACCTCCGACCAGGCCACCGACACCTCCACCCACTAGACCCCCGACTTACAGAACACCCTCGACATATCTGCCACCTCCTCCACCAACAAGGCCTCCAACTCCTCCACCAACAAGGCCACCACCTCCACCTCCCACGAGGGCTCCTTCTACATACTTGCCTCCTCCACCACCTACAAGGCCTCCAACACCACCTCCAACTAGACCCCCACCTCCTCCACCACCTCCAACGAGACCTCCGCCACCTCCACCACCACCACCAACTAGGCCACCACCTCCAGTGACACCACCACCATTCAGGACAACAGGCTACGACTACCCAACACCTAAAGTGCCATTTACTTTCCCAACGACGGCTAGACCGCAGACCCGGCCTCCGATTTACCTGCCACCCAGTACCACACGGGCACCGATCTATATTCCTCCTCCAACTACCAGAGCGCCAGTATACATTCCTCCCCCAACAACGAGAGCGCCAGTATACATTCCTCCCCCAACGACCAGACGACCCGTGTACATTCCTCCCGCGACAACTCGGCCACCGATCTACATTCCCCCTCCAACAACACGAGCGCCTCCTGTATACATCCCTCCCCAAACTACAAGGGCTCCAGTCTACATTCCTCCCCCCACCACGAGTAGACCATACACGACTCGACCGCCATTCGTCGAAGACAAGGGCTATTTCTACGACCGACCATTGGTACCATTCGTATTTTAATTAAGTTTAGTGATGTAGAAACCTGACGCATCATTTAAAAAGTGATTTAATGTCACACGCTCTATTGTTTGTAGCTGCAATCCCAACTCGTGCAAGTGTAATTTTTCTTGTGGAAAAAGTATTAATTTATACGAAATTGGAATTGCAACTACTGACAAACGTTATTTGTTAGTTGTCACAGAAACGGTAATATTTCATTATCGACATTAAATTAGCAAATACATTAAGTTAATGAATTTAGCAAATTATCTGGCTCTAACAAATCATTGGAATTGCCACGCTAAATTAGATCTTTATTTACATTTTACTACAAATTGTAATTATTAAATTTGTTACATACCTAATAATAATAATTGATGCGATCAGGTATTAAATAAGTTGCCATAAATTGTGATACCAAACGAGTACTACGTACTTACAGTCGCAATAATACTATAATAATACTTTGTTAATAACTGTTTGTTTATGTATTATAGTAACTAGTTATATATATTGTAACGGTAATACTCATAAAAATCGAAACGCGGAAACACTGCCTTCAACTAATTCTACGTTTAAGATTGTAAAATATTTTTTTAAATAAATAAAAATAATAAAATATTTGTAGTTTCTTTTGAACCTTTTGATAACGCTATGACAACATTCAAACTGAGAAGTAAATTTTGAATAACCCACTTTAATACTACTATGGCCAGAAAATGATATAAGACTTACGATGTATTACCAACTCCAATGCACAATGACAACACCTCTGTATCTATTTATCTTATTGCATCCAAGATCACGGTGAAAGTACAAAAAATATTGAATGAACATCCATATTCTACCCAAAAACAAAGTTTCGTTTTCTTATAGTCTTTATTCAATAAATCAACGCAGATCGTTGAAGCGCGAAGTTCGACGACGCACTACTAATTTATTATCGTAGATAATGAGCTACGGACTTAGGAATTCCAGTGTTCCTAAGTGAAAATACTGAAAGAAAATAATGACAAGTTGATGTATTATAGTTCTGTTATGCATCAATTTATCGGAACATCTGAAGCTCATCAATCTTGCAGATAATTATATGTAAAGTAAGCGTCAACGTTGTCAATTTTGCATATAACTAATTGCTTATGTATGTACTCGTATGTACATAACCAATTCGTCTGTCTTCATACGATACTGACACGAGAATGGCATCAAAACGTAGGTTTATGTATCTTTTTAAAATGGCTTGTATCTGATTGGCTACTTATTTTGTTATTTTGGTATTCAAGAAGTTGTCATATCAGGAGCAAATAACATCATGATAACTAGACATTTCTTTGGAATGGAAGAAGGAAGACAAAATATGATGGAAAAAAATGTATACGGTAGTCAAAGTATGTTTTCTCTCCGTATCAATAAAAATTAAAACAAAACTTATTCATATCTAAACTAGGCAAAGGTACAGTTATGTTACAAATCCTATTTAGTTCGAGGTAAGTCTATAGCTATACACCAGCCAGCAGGGTCCATTTAATTCCTACAATTGAGAATTTTTGACAATCGAAAAAGGTAATAATTTATCCGATCTTGAAGCCGAATCCCTTTGAAACCGTAACTTTTACCTTGGAAACTGTAAATAAAAATATAAGTGTTCTAATAATTCTGTTAATCTAATATATCACCACGTAGCACCAGTTTCCTCAGAGAGAGTACAAAGCAACAATGTATCACGGTCCGTCACAATAAATCCATTAAATGTTACTTCCAGCTGTTCATCATTTCTACGTATCGACGCCTGTATGGATTAGAAAGTTCATTAAAATTGTAATAATTGTAATTAGTATACTGTAGGCCTCTTACGTAATGCGTACTGTAAACAATACACGTGAGAGTTTTTGTTATCTACTAGTAATGTCTGTAATTGTAAATGGATAGTTTAGATAACCAATTCCAAATAATGAGCTAGAAATCTTAATATCGATTCTTAACAAAATATTTCATTGTGTTCATCGATTATCGAAATTTAAGAAATCTGGCGATCAAAATTAAAGGATTCTTCACTTCCATAACACATTTCTATACCACATGATATAAGGACTATCTACACTTCCAATGGCATACCATCGTGTGATGTGAAGCTTGATCATCAGTCATGGATTTTGAGCTGCTAACATCTATAATGATAGTAGACGTTATGAGTTCCCTTGGGAGTTGGCAAAGCGATAGATGACCTGAAATCATTACGAACAAAGATCTTAACAATACATTAATTAATAGCATATTATGAATTATGGGAGATCCATGCTTCGGCACGAATAGGCCGGCTCGACCGGAGTGATACACGGCTTTACTGAAAACCGACGACGACAAAAGACTTTCCACTTTACTACTTCGTGATAAGTTCGATTTTTATAGCTTCATTTTTGCTGTATGATAATTATGCTACTGTTAGGTACATTTCTATAGTGCCGCTATAGATAATCCTTTGAGAGCAAAGAGCGTAAACTGAAATGAAACTTGATAATAATATATTGCAGTGGGTAATTAAAATTGATAGCAATATGAAGCGCTGCACTCAACCGCGGTAAGTGGAGCTCGTTCGGCGCTACCACAATGTGCAGATAATCATCTCTTTAGTCTTAGCGCATTAGGATCAGTATATACTAATACAGTAATTAAAGACTTTTTTTATAATCATGTATTTCTACATGCAGAAATTACCATAGATAGGCAATAGGACATTATAAAAGACAAACCTAGCTTTGAGTATATCATATTATTACAAATATACAAAATTTAAGTGTGGGAGAGCCATGCTTCAGCACGAATGGGCCGGCTCGACCGGAGTGATACCACGGCCTCACATAAAACCGACGTGAAACAACGCTTGCGTTGTGTTTCGTCGTGTTAGTGAGGTTACAGGAGGCCCAATTACCCCCCTCCCTAGTCCTCGTCTGCCGAATCCCCGAATCCTCCACAATCCTCAAATTCCCAATCCCCAAAAGGCCGGTAACGCAATTGTAACGCCTTGGTGTTCCGGGTAGGGCTGCCACCTTTATTTTTGGTATTTAAAGTACATTGACGATTATAGGTAAGAAAAAAAATACACAGTACAAAAATAAAGTACAATTTATTCTTATTTAGTATTATATTTCAAAATATATTTTTATTGCTTTTTGCAGTTTGTATTAAATTAGTACCTTTACTAAACAATTGCATTGAAATACTAAACAATTGCATATTTACTATAAATTGTCCTAGTGGCGCTGGCGAGTGGCGAAATCGATACAACATAAATCGATAAGTTTACCGAAAAATACTTACGACTTTAATAGAAATGAAGTTTGCAAAAATAAAGTATTTTCGTGTACTTTATTATTCTTATAAAGTATAGAGTACAATTACCTTAAATAACGTACAATACTTTATTATAAAGTACGGGTGGCAACCCTTGTTCCGGGTGTCCATGGGGGAAGCCGATTGCTTACCATCAGGTGATCCATGTGCTCGTTTACCGGCTTATACTATAAAAAAAAAATGCGGAAGATCATGTAGTGTTGAATACATTTTTCTTATATATCTTTCAGTTCTTTTTCATACCACAGCAATCGTAAAACTGCTTTACATACTTGACAGAGACCAGGGAGCAACGCTTTATAATAAATCGGAAACTATTAAACGTAGAACTGGAATACGCTGGCCAAGCATCGACATTGTAGAAAATTATTTTATATAGGTATCTAGAGTATGGCCGTAGATGATGAAGTAGTAATAAGTTCGGTCTATTTCCAGGCCTTAAAATACAATAAGTCATTTATGATGTATTTAGCTTTGAAACCATAATTTCAAATGTATGCCACTAAACTTACATTCTTGCTTCATAATATAACATACCATCACGCCTTTTATCCCCGAAGGGGTAGCCAGAGGTGCACATTACGGCACACCACTGTACAATGCAACACCCACTTTTCACTATATATGTTATGTGTCCCACGTAATAGGGAGTGAGATGATTGCCATACACCGGGCTCAACTCCAGACTCCGTGCTACTACTGATATTTTTTTGAAAACCCAGTAATACTTTGCCCGACCCGGGAATCCAACCCGAGACCCCTTGCCCGACAGCCGCACTTGCAACCAATCGGCCAACGAGGCAGTCATTCTTTATAACTACAATACATATTGGGGGATTTTTTGTTAAACGTCATCGTCATTTACCCCATAGGATGAATGAGGTGCACACATAACATAACATCACGCCTTTTATCCCCGAAGGGGTAGGCAGAGGTGCATATTATACCACTGTACAATGTAACAACTACTTTTCACTATTTATGTTATGAGTCCCTATGTAATAAAGGGTGAGCCTACTGCCATATACCGGGAAGAAAAAGTAAAGTGTAAATTGCCACCATTATACTCTTAAGCTAACATAATGAAGATTTACGATACACTGATACATATCAAAGCTCACATACATGAAGCCAATAGATAAATAATCATATTACGCTTTTGTACATACCTATAAAATGCCAGTTTTAATGAAATATGATAATTATTTATTTATCATTTGATTTTTATTTGATAAGTTATGATTTTACTCTTAGATTTTCGTGTAAAGTTTATTCAATTTGTAAATGATGATAATCAACCATACATTACATGAATACAGTAAAAATCTTGTATTAGGTTTATGACGCTCGCTTTTCATGCATAAGGCTGCTAGTTCGAAACCTACCAACTGCAAGTACCAATGTGACTTTTTCCGAGTTATATGTACTTGCTAAGATTATCTAGACACGACTTGGGCTTGTAATTTCTAATTATAAGTTTGAAATCGGAAACCCAAATTGTACAAGCGTATTGATTAATGCTCAAACATGCTTTGTTTGAGAAGAGGCCGTTGGTCAGCAATGGCCACTTATATGCTGTTGATGATGATGAAACAAATCACATGACACCACTGGATGCAGTTAAAACATAAGTTAGTAACATTCACTTCACACGCACAGAAAGTAATTTAGTGAGAAACAGACAAATGATAATAAAAATGTAATTTGTCCACTAAACAGTGGATGTCCGGCCATGACATGACGCAACATGTCAACGTCACAGAAATTCGCGATACAACACTCTCTACACTTAGACAAAATGACCCAAGCAATTTATGAGATTAGAGCACATAAAATAAACAAAAATTGCCCGTTTATTAACCTTACAATGTAAGTTTTGAGAACATAGGTAGTGATGTGAATACATTACATATTATAATTGCGATTTTCACTGGTGTTACGAATATTCGGTCGTGTGGGAGCGGTGGCCGGCACGCTCCAGTGCTCTGCGTCCGCGCATCGTGCTGTCTAGTGCTGGAAAAATTACATATCGATGATAATGATTTATTTTCACTATGTTCATAAGATAAACGATGAGAGTAATATTTCAAAAAAGGGTGTGAACTGTGTGATAAAGAAGTTACGATTATGCGAAAACTCTTTTAATTAAATTGTTTGAGGGTACATTGCATTTTGCGAAAATGTTTAATTTTTGTCGAACTAACGATTGAAATATACATCCATCATAAGATTAATTAAAAGTGAAAAATACAAATTATACCTGATATTAAATTTAATTTTAAAACACACCTAATATTCCGGGACGAAACTAAACATTATACAACTATTCAAGTTTACTTGTTTATTTTAATAAACAATTTATCGATAACTTTCAAGCACTACAGCTCCAACCCTACCATCTCAAAGGAAAACATTATCGTAGCTCGAAGAATCCGTCACATTTTCTAGTGCGGACGCGGCGCGTGCGCTCCAACTCACAAACAAACCATTCTTGCAGTAGTGATGTGTCGGTAACATGTCTAGTGAGGGCTCAGTGACGTCCAGTGGATCCCGGATCCGACAATTCGGGTTGTACAGGACTATCGATGCTAGGACCGAGGAGTTCCTAAGGTCGTCCAGGAAAAGGCAGATAAGGCAAGGATGCGCCTGCGCTGCTATTTCTACCGCGATCACAGTTACCGTTGTCGTTGTAAGTATTATTAATTATTAATATTTTATAATTTTATATTGTGTGTAAATTATATTTTGTTGTGTGCTTAAAACATGTGAAATGTATAAGAATATACATTTCATATAAATTGTTTTATTTTGTGTTTGCTAGTGTTTATTGCTTGCTATAATTATTTGTGTTTGTATGTATAATGTGATAAACTGTAAAGAATTTTGCATACTTAGTTTATTATTCGTGTGTGTCTCACTTATATATTTTGTAATGTAATTCGTGTGTTCTAAGTGTATTCCTTGTTGGAGACCCTAATTTATTAAATAAATATATAGATAGGAAAAGCCTAAAAATCAATGTTTGTGGAATAATTATAAAAAAATATAAGTCTAAGCATAGGACTGAAGTCATGGAAGAAATAGTAAACTATTGGTAATAATTTTCGATTCAAGAACTACCTAACTAACATCAAAAAATAGAATATGATTTGTGTTTCTATGTTTTGTGTACATGCCTCATTACCTACTTTAACACAATAAATTATACCTAAAAATCTGTATACTTTAGGATTCAGGACTAGAACTAATGGCCTGGCCTTTTATAGTCCCTGATTAAGTTTGTGTAAATGTAACTGACGGATATCTTGACGATTCTTTTATGTTTACTTAATTATTTGCTACGTATAATAGATACCAAAATACATCTAATAAATCTATATTGTTATACTATAATGTAGATAGGGATGCACAAACTTTAAGTTTAAGCTCAAAATATTTGAATTACTGCCGGGCAAGGGGTCTCGGGTTCGACTGCCAGTCAGGCAAAGTATTACTGGGTTTGGAAAATCCTCAGTAGTAGCACGGAGTCTGGAAATATACCCGGTATATGGCAATAGGCTCACCCCTATTACATGGGACTCATAACATAATTACTGAAAAGTGGGTGTTACATTGTACAGTGGCATTAAGTGCCGTAATGTGCACCTCTGCCTACCCCTTCGGGGATAAAAGGCGTGATGTTATGTTATGTTATATTTGAGTTAAAGATTTCTAAGCACCAATTTCAATTCAGGTAATAATTATTTAAAAAATAACGATGAATAAGTCACAAATATGTCTATTTTAGATTTTTTTTTCAAATTCAATTGTAATATTGTAAAGTTTGTGTCCAATGTGACAGACAGAAGAAAACAACATATCATCGTATAAAGACAGCTGCAATAAATTACCAAAGAAAAAACTAAAAAGAGGTTTTGCATCATTAAGGAAATACTATCAGTAAAGTACCTAGTAGTGACAACAGCATCATATATCGTTATAAGAAATTGTTTATAAACAAATATACAAACACATTGTCTCAATTATATAAACATTCGCCAATGATGTAGTGCCCATTGTAATCTGAACTTTTTGTTGTACAAATATAAATTAATTGTTCGTCTCGTCCCATACATAGTGCAGCATTAAATTTTGTCAAAGTATTGTTATGATCTATTTATTTTTTGTACAGCTATTGTCTTACAAACTGTGAGCAATGAGTTATCATTAATTTGATGATGACATCAACAGTGTGTCTGTTTTGATGTGATAATGAAATTCATGTTTTGATTGAACATTTTATCTGATACACAGAGATCGTCATGTCCTTAATATATTTATATTTTAGTTACTTAATCAAAGATTTAAAAAAGAGTAACCTGTGGAGTTTCTTACTCGTTCTTCTGCAAAGGAGATGTACATTTTGCAACGAGAAAATAACGTCACTAAAGGACTGACTGACAGTCTGACATTTTTAATATTTTAGTATTTGCTTGGTGTTCAAAAGTAGCTTTGTGGTTTAATTGAAATAAGTGATTTTGACTTTGACTGTAACATATAATATAATCATTATCACATTTTCAAATCAAAACATTATCCAATCTAAATCCTGATGAAAATGAAATATAAATGTGGAAAATATGTAGGTGTAGTTGGACATAGTATATATTCCCTAGTATTTCATGACTACCAAAAATTAATACCCATCGAGTTTAGAGAACAAATATTTACCGACAACCAATATCCTTCCGAAATAATCAAAATAGTCATAATTTCCTTTGATTTTGTTATGGCGTCAGTACATCGAATAATATTCCAAACACGTTGTCACTTGTGTACACAATAGTTACGGTTGTTGCTTTTTTGTCAACTTTTTTATTTGTAAACACTTATTATACAGCGATTAGTTATTCGCTTCCTTTATTAACACACGCCATTTTTAGCGATGCGCGTCCGAATTTGACAAACGGATATTGCTATTTTGGCGAATATTTTGATTAAAAAAATATTGAACGTTAGTGTTAGCATCGATTTAATCCCGTAAAATGATAATAAACACAGTTAATACTTATTTATTAAGGAAAATTATTAAAGTATAATTTAGATTAATTTAGAATATAAAAACGCAAGTTCGATACCATTCTTGTTAATTTTAATGCTACTGAACTAGCTTCAGGTCAAACATGGTTTGATTCATTAGATTAAGAGCTATTGTTTTCGTTTGGTGGCTCATGTAACTTATTAAAAGTTAGAATAATTAGAAATACTTAAAAAGAAAGGATTTTGTACATCTTATACGGCTACTTGATATTTTATTTATTTTTTATTTGATTAAGGCATACACAAACATTGAAAATAATACAGACCAGTGCTTACACCAATTAAAGATATTATAACAATGAGTTTGATATCCCAGTATTTTTCATATTTTTTGGTATAAACTTCTTAGTACACGAGAAAATCTAGTAGCTGTAGTAATATTTAAGACTGGTTAGTGAAACCCAGCACACATGTTTGCACTTAAACGGAAAACATGCAAGAAATTTACTACTAAATGAAAATTATCTGCACACGATATACTTAGTAGATACGTTAAAAGTAAATCACTCATTCGTTATTACCCATTATTACTGCCATTAATTCATAATCATGTTGTCATCGGTAGTTAAAAATGGCGTGATTTGACTGCACGGTTGGTGCGGTGGCTGGGCAACCGGCTGCCGTGCAACGTGTCGCGGGTTCGATTCCCGCACGGGACAACACTTTGTGTGATCCACAAATTGTTGTTCCGGGTCTGGGTGTCATGTGTATGTGAACTTGTATTATTGTAAACGCACCCACGACACAGGAGAAAATCCTAGTGTGGGGCAACGTTTTATTTATAAAAAAAAAGTTAAATACTTATTAAATAAGTTACAATATGAGTTATGGATATTATTCTTCTTGTGTATCCAGCTAATACAGCAGACAATGTCACTGTTAACAATAAAATATATCAAAAATGTATCTATATTGTTTTGTGATTGGGTACATTTCTTCCATAAAAAACTAAATTTATTAGCTGTTACTTTTATTTTTATATTCAAATGTCATGTAAACAGTATTGTAATATACCAATCAATCAATATTATTGGACCGAACCGCGGTTAAATCAAACTAAAAATACAATTGAAAGAAACATATGTATTTTAAGCAAATAATAATAATAATTGCAATCATTTAATGTATTTTTATCGTGCTATATCATATTATTATAATTTATACATAAAAACAATTTATTTATGAAACTATAAAACAATGATTCTATAAAAAAATATATACAACTATCATTATCTTGTTCCTAAAACAACACGGTTAAGGTCTAATGCCAGTTAATAAACTGAATTTTTAAATAGGACGTTGCAAATCCGTATTTTAAAATGTATTATACAACTGTCACATCCATCAATTAATCACAGCCGAAACTACTGGACCTAGGAAGCAGTAGATATTATATTCCTTGAGGAGTATAGAGAAGCACTAAATTCCCACGGGAACAAATAAAACGGGTATAATCTGGAAGTGCATATCAATTTGCTACTATAAAGAATTTTTCTATGGAGTAATCCGGAAAACAAGCAGATGGATCACCTGATGGTAAGCAATCGGCACCGCCCATGGACACTCGAAACACCAGAGGCGTTACAAGTGCGTTACCGACTTTTTGGGAATTGGGAATTTGAGGATTGAGTGGGAATCGGGAAGCGTTGTTTCACGTCGGTTTTCTGTGAGGCCGTCGTATCACTACCATCGATCCGGCCCAATCGTGCCGAAGCATGACTATCGCACACTTAATTTTATATTCTACTTTTATAACATACTAGCAGCCCGTCCCGGCTTCGCACGGGGTAGACAATTATTTATTTTGGGAAATTTGGATTGTTGTAGTGACATAACTACAATAGTTGGACATATGCTACCGCGGAGTTTTTTGTAGACATTATGACATTCTTCAATATTGTTGTACATTATTTTGTTCCATCGCTAATAGTTTCGTCAGCGCATTCGACGAAAGACATTTTAAGAGTTATTTTTCTAGACCTTCGGTTACATTGTTCAAATTTTACCAAGGATCCCTAATTTTTTTCAAAATGAATGTAGCCCATGTCAAATTGGAAGTATGTAGCATTCTATTGGTGAAAGAATTTTTTAAATCGGCCCAGTACTTTTTGAGCCTATTCATTACAAACATACAAAAATAGGTACAAATCTTTCCTCTTTATAATATTAGTATAGACTTTTATTAGATACTAGCTGACCCGGCAAACTTCGTACCGCCTAAAAAATATTTTTCTCACCTTTTAAACCACTTACACGAACATTTCAAGACCAAAATTAGCCAAATCGGTCCAGCCGTTCTCAAGTTTTAGCGAGACTAACGAACGGCTATTCATTTTTATTTATATAGATTTTAGTATATATAAGACAGTCTAGCTTTATATTTTAGATTTCATTATAGGTTGACTCTAAGACTAGGTAACTAATACATACTATCAAACCTTACCCAACTCATACTCGACAAAGTCAGTTTCCAGAACCGTCTAGCTACAAACACCATCAAGAATGTCTGTCGCCCAGCGACATTACTGTTCTACTTTGAAGGGCAAGTTGTCACCATAATTATAGACATGAGACACTTTTCAACTTTGTCTTTAAACACTAAGCGACGTGTGTTGTGACGCATCGACGTCCGTACACAACCGTGACCACTTTCCACCTTCTGTATATAGTAGATAGTAAATGTTTATGGTTATAAACATACCACTACATCTACTAATTACAGTCTAAGACTGTACATTTTATTTTCAGTCATTTTGAATCTGTCACTTGAATAAATATAATCATGTCTCACAATGAATTAGATTAACAAATCAGTCTCATTATGTTTACTTATTGATAATAATATGCACTTATAGCATTTTTGGCAAGATATTAAATTTTATAGGTAATCGTTAATTTGATAGCATGACAATGAATAATATAAAAACTATCGAATAAATGTCAATTTTTATTACTATTTAGTGCGTGTAGGCTTCAATAAGCATGTATCTATTACAGATAAATAAAACTGTGATAAAATTCTGCGAACACTAGCTCGCGTGGTAAACAGAAATATACCACAGATAAATTATGGAAATAACATAAAATGCAAATATTTTATCTTCGAGCTGAACAACGTATGTACGTAGTTAACATATTGAGTGTAGTGTGCATACTTTCTGCTTTCTTCATCGGCGCAGGCGCACGCCGTGACGTCACTAGATAGTCTCATAGCTAGTGTTTTAGTGAAAGGTTTTAAGACAATTTAATGATCCTTAACACTACAACATACATTACGTTGTTAATTTAACAGAATTTTGTCACAACTAGCACTTTTATGTAAAAAGAAGCATAATTTACATCGCAAACATAATAATATTAATAATCATACAAGAGCCTACTCTTAGCATCATTATGGATGTATTAGAATCACAATTATGTCAGCAATATGCAAACTTACACAAACTCATAAAAACCAAATGACACAATAATAATTCACAATAACAATCTGCAATATTATATAGACCGTGAACAATGACTTCTTTTACATAATATTTTGTAATAGAAAAATTATGTTTTACAAATGTTATAACTCATTCAAAGTCATAAAGATAGGAATCGATGACAAATAAAGATTATTACGACGTTTTATTGTATATTAAATCTTAAATTAACGAGCATAGAGTACGTTTTATTAAAGATAGAGATGGATAATGTAAATTTTCCATGTTAGTGGAAATTCAAAGAAATTTAGCAAATTTCTTTTTATGTGCTAAATCTAAAGTAAGTTGTGTTACGTAAAACGTGTTTTCCTTTTATTTTTACTCCTGAACCAGATAGAAAAAAAAAAATTAATAATAACTCTTTTGTCAATTTTTAGTTTGTTAACCATTTTTTTTATTATATACTTTCATAATCACTAAGATTTTATGTTCTTCTAACATTGTGATTTTAGTAACCTCACACGATATGCGTTTGAAGCAATTCCTTCGTACGTAACTAACAATTTTTGACTAATTGGTAAGTGTTTGTCAATAACTTTATTTTTTATCAAAATATTTTTTTTTAATTATACGTTCGTTAAAGGGTAAAAATTTAAATAAGAATACTGAACAAACATAATGTGTAAATTATTTTTTTCTTTATTTTCAGACCGTGATACTGGTCTACGAATACAGCATCAATTCACAAGCAAATGTAAATAAAAAAGTTACAACAAAACCCAACTGGATTGGTCTAATCAATGATAGCGATATTACATCGATAAACTCTAAGTTTAATAAAAAAATTAACTTTGATAGAACAACACTAAAATTATTGCCTATATTATTGAATGCGTTAAACAAAAATCGATATTTAGAAAAAATCTTAGAAGACTACTCGAGTTCCAGCCCACCTTTTGCGGGAAAAGACTCTACTGAAACATTTACAAGAAATGTATTTGCTGATTCCAAAAATTGGTTAAAATTACCAACAACAAGACACTACACAGTTGATTACAAAACTTCGCCCTTAATTTTCTGGAAAAATCCAACACAACGTCAAGATTACCTTACTAAAATAAGAAAGATAAGAGATTACAAAAGAATGTTAAACTATTTTGACAAAATGGTCAATGATAAAAATGGCAGCAATCAGAAAAAAGACTTTGAATTCACTGAAAAGCCATTCATTGCAGAGACAGTTCCCATGAAAAAAGCCAAGCCCAGAAAAGTGCCACAATACCAACCTCCCGTTCACTCCAATGATGAAAGAAATGAATATAAATCAGGAGAAAAGGGCGCCCAATCTAGTTGCAAATGTCCGAAGAGATTAGGTAGCTTATTAACCAAATTAATAGCTGGGATACAAGATATAATTCCTCATATTATTAATAATCAAATGAATCCCCATACATGTAATAAGACAAAATCAGTTACGGTTCCAATTCCACACAAAACTCTTCATGAAAATGAAAGAAAACTAAGAACTGAAACACTACTATCAAATGAAGTATACACAGCGCTTCCATTAAAACCATATTTTGATATTGTACATAAACCTAGAAGAAAATTTCATCAATCAGACAAATTTAAAGCAACCACGAGTAAAAGTACTTCTCCTAGTACCACATCTGCCACACCATCAACTACCAGCACTACTTCTAGTGCGACATCAACTACTAGTACGACTCCTAGAACGACTACAACGAGTACGACTACAACTACTTCAACTACACCTCCTAGGACAACTTCAAGAACGACTACCACAACTACTACTATGACTACTTCTTTTACCACACCTACAATGTTCACCTCTACTATTGATCCCAGTACAACAACTATTGATGATCAATCACTATCTGTTGAAATTAAAGATAGTAAAATACCTTTGGAACATAATACACTACGAATGCCAAAAAAAATGAATATGTTACTATCTCCCTTAGAAACAAACGATAAAAATATCTATGACTACGATTTCATATTTAAACCAACTGACTTTAATATAGAAACTACAAAAAAATCAGACATGAAAACTCCAACAACAGAAATGTTTGTTCCAATCAAATTTATTGATTCTTCTCATGAAAGTTCTACCACTGAAAAATGGGTAGAGACGGTAAGCTCACATCGTCCACGAATGCATGTACCTTTATTCAAAGAAGAAGAATACGATGATTACTTCATCACAACACCCAGCAGAACTATGGGTGAACTAGAAAACCTCGAACTTCCTAATATGAAATTAATAAAAAATAAAATGACAAGTCTTAACAGCCCCCCACCGACTGGAATTCGTAAAATGATTGTTAAATACAAAACTACCAGTTTTCGTCCGGTGAATAAGCCAGAAGACTTAGATTTGGCTTCGATGCGAAAAATGGCCGATTTGATATATTCGCCTCAAGAAAAAACTACAAAAGACACAAAATATACAACAGAAACTAAAGCTCCTGTTCCATTCTACGGAAAATACAGTGATCCAACGTTACTTATTGACTTTAAATCAACCAATTCTGTAGATAACAATAAAAACACTAGAATCCCTCATTCAACTACTTCAAAAGATACAAAACGAGTGTCAAAGCCAATGTCTGAAATGAAAATGGATAATGACGACGCAAAACTTAACGCTGATCTACATATGAGCGAAAATGTATTAGACGATGAATTTCAAGACGAAGATGGTTATAGACAAATAGATATCACAACTAAAATTCCCGATAAGTATTTAATAAGCCCACCTATTCCAGAAGATTGTAACAAAACTATTGATGCGCATAGAGATGAGATAAAAACACCAGATAAGTGGGAACGGACAAAAAATGAAGAAAAACTCATCCACAAACCATCTAAATCAATGTTGCCTTCGATGCGGCCAATATACTTACACATTCAAAGAAATAACGAATGGCGACAAGATGCCGATTACGATATTAATTTTAACAACAATATATTTGATTTACCAAATAATATTAATTAGTTTAATCTAAACCAAACAATACTTAAATTTATTAAGTAGTTCTCTTTAAAGTTTTTAAGGAATTATTATCGTAATTGGATCATTTGTTTCATTCATATATATACCTGGATTGGAGTTTGAGTTTAATGAAAATAAAATTAATGTCAATGTTTTCTTATCGAATACCCACGAGTTTCACTGTATATACCGAATAAAACTGTATGAAGATCAGGGTCAAGATGCAGGTTTTATGTGCTGGTAATTTCTTATTCTGTGATCCATGTAATTCATGTTTTTACTTTATTCCTTTTTTCCCACATTTTACTTGCAAATCAAAACGGAGTTTCTGCGTGAAATAAAATTACTCAATGCACTTATATCTTACTTTTAATTTATTTATTTACGAAAACTTATGTATTGAACAGAATTTAAGGATTGAATAAGAAACTGTAGTTATGGTGATATGAACAGTATCTAACATTTTCTTTTATTTCAGTAACTAACGCTATACCTTTAACAATTTCAATATGAGTTCACAAAAGTTTTATATTTCTTTTACAGGTAATTCTTCTGATCTACGAATACGCGATAGCTGTAGAATGGAGTTTAGTACAAAATAAACAAATCACTAATAGATCCAACGCCACCTGGAGGGACCAGCCTTTTGCCGATAGACTTGACCGCAGTTACTTTGGACTCGATCAAGATTATTATGAACGTATGCCTTTGCTAATTAATGCTTTGCAAGAAAGCAGTTACTTTGACCCAACCATTGAAACAACAGGGTCTTTCGCCAAGAGACGATACAACATGACAATAATAAAACCGACAACAACGAAACCGACTTTTAAGCCCAGTCCAGTAAGAAGGACAAGTCCTCGACCCTTTTTCTTTGAATACAGAAGTCCCACTCCACTACCCTTTAGTAAAACTTATGGCTCAAGAAGTTGGATAGAACGATATCGAAACGAAGAAAGATTAAAAAATATTCGCCAGATAATAAAATATTTGGAAACCACAATTAACGCTAAGTCTGGAGACTTACATTCTAAGCCCTCAAGCACGCACATTGCTTTTACTGGTGTTTATATTGAACCAATGCTAGATCATAAAGGCGTTGATATAGATCCTAAGTCAGACTTGCAACAAGAAAGCTCAGAAAACATAAATCAGTTTAAATCGAACCATCTAGCAGATCCGCTCTTCAATTTCAAACCAGAAAGTCCTGGAGAAGTCAATCTGTTAGCTGACGACTTTTTACGATTTGCACCTATTCCTACACCGAGTCTAGATACTGTGCACAATCATCCAATGTTCCGACAGATTCCATTTAACAAAAGGAATTGTCTGGGTAACAAATGTGAACAAAATTTTCCAAGTTCTATTGAAATAAAACCAACTGAAGCTCCACCACTGAGTACTACCAAATCATTTAGTGTTATGCTCAATTTGTTTCCCATGAAAAAGGAACCCACGACCACTTTAAAATCTTTAGATAATATTTACCTTACAACTTCACGACCTTTGATACAATTTAAAAGAAAGTCCAATGTCGCTTTTCGGCGAATATTTACTCCGTATAAGAGACCAAAATATTTAAGCAACATTATAAATAAACAAAATAAAGTTATAAAGCCTAAGGAGAATCAAAATAAAGAAACACCAACTGCGGAAGGTACACAAATGATTGTACACGTTAAAGTGTATAGTCCTAACGAAAAAACCGAATTGAAAAACGAAACAACTAAAGTGCATTCTACGATACCGTCAACACAAACGAATCCTTACACTACAAAGGCTCCTATCGAATTATCGACATCACAAATAGAAGATCATCACATAGGTAGCTCGGGTTACATACCAGTTGAAGCTAGTACAGAACCAACTCTTCCAAAAGTGACAACCATATTACCATTCTTTGAATCGACAACTGAGCATTGGCCAGCTCCCACTGAAGTATTTCAATTCAATGCCGAAGACGCAAAAGTGCCTAATCAGTATCTAGAATTAGAAAGAAGAAGTAATAACCGTCAAAGTATACAGATTAGTAGACGGAATTCTGGCGAAGAAATCAATGATCATGAAGAGTTGAGTACACTTATTGTTAAACTTAAAAATGAATACGTAAGAACTACCACAGAAACTTCTTTGCTTAAAAGTACAGAGAAAGTAGAGGAAACCACAACAGAGTGGACGTATGTACCCCAAATAAATGGTCATTACAGACACATTAATCAAAATTCAAAGAATGGTGATACTGAGTTGAATGCGAATCCAGAGAATAATAGAAAAAAGCGTTTAGAGCAATCAGTATCGGGTTATCGTACTTATGTCCCCATGTATGTAGAAATTAAAAGAAATCGTAGCCAAACTCCGACCAGCGATTCTGAGGAAATTGTTGATAACAAAGACAGTAAATAATGATTTGTTTCATTGTGATTTTAATGTAAAATGTTCTATGTAGTGTAACGATAATTAGTTCTAATTGTAAATTATAAAAATACTTATTTATTTTCTGTGTCCCACCGACTTTACTTATTGCCCATTATTATGTGTCTTGTGCTCATTTCAATTTTGTGGGATCGTTTGTAAATAAATTAATAAATAATGATATCTTTTGTTGTTTTATTTTGTATGCGTTAATACAGTTTAGGTGTCCTTTTTTGGGGATTTGGTGGTAAGCGATGATATGGCCTCCGAAAGAGTATTTTATACTTTTAAGGCCTCATAAGCGGCGTATTCTCTCGTGCCCTGATTACACCGGATATTTAGACCCAGCCACAAAATAGTTATGTTTATGAGGGTACAAAATATAAACACAATAAATCTGAAACTTATTGAGTCAGAATATAATACTGACTTAAGAATGTAACGCGCTTTTGGCGCCAATATAATTTAACGGCATTAACAGGAACTAATAAGAATCGTGAAAGCTTCTATACTCAATGCTTACACGCACATACCGAAACGATTTTCCATCTGTATACAAGGTAGTTTGTGTCTTATTTCATAGATGGCATCACTGTACAACTTTTTATTAAACATTAATTAAAATCACATAAACATTATTAACACACTTACTAGATAATAAAATAACCAACTAAATATGGAAAATAATAATAATAGGGTCTGATTGCGGAGAACCGAAAAGAAAACCTAATCAAGATGTAAATATTTCAAACGTTAAATGTTGTTGTAATGTTGCATAACCGTATTGTGCTTCCTATTATTGATAGGGACCTTAACAAACACATTTCGAAAACCAAGCCTGTTTCACTTTATTTTACTTTAATTAATTAAGCAACAGACAGAAGTTCCACACTTTTAAACCACAAATAAAAACGACAAGTTTTAGTAAGTAGGTAATCGCCAAATCATATCACAGCATATGCATATCGTCATTGTACCTACATATTGACTCACAAGAAGTTAAGAAAGTGAAAATAATGAGTAAGCAACATACTTGTCATCGATAACATAATTTGAATGACGAAGCAATACCTTCAATTCTACAGGTAAATAAAAAACAACTGCATTGAATTTCTTAGTAGGAACTCAATACTCAACTCAAAAGAGATAACTCAAAGACATATTGGTCACGTGATCACGAAAACATTTCAACTAGATTATAATAAAAACCGAAAGTTAATAGCAAATGTTGTTATATGGAACTCCTAGCAATGTTAAAACTGGGTACTATTGAATTGTAAACAGACAATTAAGTCAAATGAAGTCAAGTAATATTATAATCCCCAAAAGGCCGGTAACGCACTTGTGACGCATCTGTTCCGGGTGTCCTTGGGCGACGCCAATTGCTTACCGTTAGGTGATCCGTCTGCTCCTTTACCGGCATTTCCTACAAAAGAAAGTGAATTAGTAAATAAGAACATATATTTTAATAGCAATAACCTCCTTTGAATCGTAAGTGCAAAAGCAACTGCACCTATGCAGGTCAGTGACCGATAAAATTAAAATTACTACGCCTGTCCTGTCTACTGCCATGCTGGTATAAACGTAGTAATAATTTCGTTAGTATTTCAATTTATCAGTCAAACCGTAGCATTTATCTTCAAGGCCAATATTGCAAGTGAAAGATGACATGTCTCAAAACTATTGGCAGGTAAAAGATTAAAAAAATACGGTTCTTGTATTTTATCGAAATAGTGGAATATATGACGGATTCAATACGAAGATTTCTAATCTGTATAATAAAACTATCAAACAATTTAATGTTCAAGTTCATATCAGCAAATAGAGTTCGTAGTTATTGTACTAAACTACTACTTTAAATTATACCTACTTCTTTTTCTAAAATTAAAAGCATGGCAATTCCCAAACAAGTGTATTAAGTTGGCAGTAACTGTTTTCTCTCAGGCGTCGGTTGTTCTCAAATTGGTACAGTAAAATCATGAGTTAATTATATTCTTTAGTTATGTTCTTATTTTTCGTCAGAAATAATCAAGCGTTTCTATTTTCATTGACCATAACTACCTCATTTTCACACACAGCCATTAACACGATATTCAATTTTATTTCTTATTTTTATTGTTTTATAAAAATGAGTAACTTGTACCTAATAAGTAACAAAAAATGGTTATTAATGGAGGAGGAACGAGGTTTATCCCATCACATGTATCTTCGGATTACTTTCTTAGAGAGGCTTCCCATAAGGAAATAAACACATTTTTTTTTGCAATGCGCCAGATCTCTAAGAGTACACCAACTTTATGCAACTGCCCATGACAGTGCACTACTGGACTATGGATCTTCTCGACTTAAAAGGGTTTACCATACTCCATACTTCGAGATCGCAGTTTAAAAAAGATAGATTTATAAGGAATCACTGCTTTTCGGGTTCTGTCAATTATGAACTTCCTCAGTCGGCTATTATAACAACACCCTTTGAGAAAGTAGAGGTCATGTTGACCTTCAGAGTACACCAACAAATAATACCAAGTTGGATTCTGTCCATTAAACTTCTCCAAACTTTTAAAAGCCCAGTAAAGACGAAAACTGTGATAAAAAGTTACACTACTACCATTTGCTTAGACCTTGAAGTTGTGACGAAACTTGAATACTGTTATAATGGACGCCAGTTACACATTTTATGAGATACCACGATACTGTTGGTCTCATGAGATTGTAGTCCAGATTATGAGATAAATTAATATAAAGTACAATTCTAGTATATAGAGATAACGTCTAAATAGAATCATTAGAAGTTAAAAATGTTTTAATGCACTACTATGATGCTGTAGGTCTGTCTGTTTATCTGCTTGGGAAAATATGAACTACAACTTATGGAAATTTTCAAATAGGTAATATTTGTGATTCAACGAGACGATAGGTTTGTCTGCTATCCCAACATAATTATGCTAATTCACGTTGAGTTCTAAATAACTCTGCAGCCGACAACTAGTCATGCATAGCATTTCTATTAGCACACGCCTATAGACCAGTTTTTATACAAATGCATTCAAAAAACGGCGCTCTCACAAGTTTCAAACGGTCACTCCAATTTGACCCAAAAAATCTAAAATGACCCTTAAAAACAGTACTGGAAACTTAATTCCCTTAGTACCAAAACACTTCTCTGAATGCAACGGACCCCTCAGAACGTGACCTAGTAGGTCTTTTCTCTCTTTCCAACAACATTGACCTCAAATCTCCTGTCTCACATCACGCATCTTAAGAAAAACCCCGTTACTTTTACCTGTGCAAAAAGGCTCTATCTGCGGAGGTAGAAAGACGTTACTGACTGGTTTTTGTTGTCTCTCTCTTTTATTTACTTTTAGTTTGTAAGTAAGAAAGGGAGAGGTAGAATGCTAATCCGGTACCGTAGACCGGTGGTGCAAGTTTTTGACAGTACGTATCAAAGTTAGCGGAGTGTTTGAGTCGGTGTATAGTGTATTTAGTTTCGTTAGTGTTATTTAATGTTTATAAATAAAAATATGTAATATTTTGCGTTTTGTGAAGTGATTTGTGTTTATAGGAAGTACTTTTAACAAGGTACGTGTTGTAACGTGTAAAATTTTGCAATAAGGCGTATTTACACAATACTTTCTTTGCATAACATGTCAGTTAGTCACCAAGGTCAAAATATATCTCTTGTAGCCTGACCTTTAGGATACGGATAGATTTATAAATTGAATAAAATCAATAAAATTCCAAAGAACCGGTAGGTACTGCTTAGGTCATTGAGAAACATGATGATATCATACCATTTTTGCCCATAACAATACATTTTATACGACACAGCAGTTTTTAAGTTTATGCAAGAATACATACAGACAGCATAAAAACATTTCATTGTGTTTGTTTCCGCATTTATTGTTCTTTTAAAATGAAGCCTTATGAATGCTTACGTTCACATAAAACTGCCCAGGGTTTTAAAATTTGTACTATGGGCTGGGCTGAGGTCCATAGACCTTTTCCCTCTAATAGTTAAATTGATAAATATGTATAATGATATAATAGGACATATCATTTAATCCGGTCATAGTATAAGTAGATTTGGGTGAAGCAAATTGAAACATGATGAAACACATTCAAAATATAGTTCAGGCTAGGCGCCTGTTTACAAACAGGAGATGAATGACGAATGACATCTCATTGAATCCTTATTTTTAAAAAGCTTTTATTATTTTTTCTATTTTTACTATACATCTTACATTTTCATTAAACAGTAATGCACTAAAATGTAATGTTTTCACAGTTTTCTTTCCTTATTTATTTGTCTATTTCAAACAATACTTCGTCCATCAGTCCAGTAAGACAGTGATGTGACCAAAAGGTTTCGAACAAGTTCCAAACGGTACAATTTGTATGTCAGTGGCGCAGACGCAGAGACATTCGGAAACAAGACACGCGGTATGTCACGCAAATTGCGGTATTTAGGTAATAATAGGTTTGGGTTTAATAAGCTGCTATTAAAAATAAAGTGAGTTATTAGTGTTTACTTTCTTATGTTCCTGATATAGGTGTGCTGGTATCGTTGGTTATTATTTGTTTCTTTAGATTTCGAAACACTCCTTTGGCAGTAGTCGATCTGGATTTTTAAATTTGCTATGAACAAGACAAAATGTGACAAGAAATACCACTGAGGACTATTATTTTATATCTAGAGAAATAGGGTGTGTAGAAATAGGTTATATCGATGGAGTCAAATTTTTAGTATACAATTATTAAACAGTCTTAAAATAATAAGTAATGAGTAATGACCCACGTTTAAAAAAGTGCACACTGCATTTATACGGTGAAGTAAAATTCAAGTATGATAGATGAGAGAAGAAATATGATATAGAAAATCAGGCACTTTCTTATTGCAGTAAGATTTATCCTTTTTAATATTGTGCATAATAGTCGAACATTAATTTCATATATAGAGAACACATATATAGAGTAAAACCACAAACACTCGCCTTCCTTTCTAGTTGATAAAGGCCTTGAGTGGAATATAATATGAAGAACAATGACATTACTTCGTTCTTAAAATAGTTCACGCAATACTTTGTTTGGACGTTTCACATGCTTCTTAGTGGTACCATCAAACCTCTTCAACGTGTGTAACAAATTACAAT